ATAGAATGGGGGTATTACATAGTTGTATCCTCTGAAAATTATTCAGCCTTGAATCTGATTGACTGCTGTAGCTGGAGAGTTTTCTCTCCAGTCCTGCCAAGCCCTGGCAGTCCCTTAGCCCATGTATAAAATAAACATACAGATGCTTATATTATTTAAACTGCTTGGCCGTTAGCTCAGGCCTATCATTGTCTAGCTCTTACTCTTATATTCAGCCCATTTTTATTAATTTATACTTTGCCACGTGGCTTGTGGCTTACTGGTACCTTACATCTTCCTTGTCCTGGTGGTGGCTGCAGGTAGTGTCTCCCTCTCTGCCTTCCTGTTCCCTCAATTCTCCTCTCTGTTAGTCCAGCCTATACTTCCTGTCTGGCTACAGGCCACTCAGTGTTTTATTTATACAGAGTGACATTCACAGCAGGCTGCCTTTGCAAAACAGTGCCATCTTTACAGATTACATCCATAGTTTCTTACATTTTTTATTCTTTTAGACTATTTATCAAACTCAATATATATACATATATATGTATATATATACATATGTATATATAATATCATTGTTTTGTCCAATGAACTACATCCTTTATTAATAGAGGCATGCAGGGTTCCTGTTTGTTGTGCTCATAAAGTATTATCAGCAACAATTAGAGTATTTTGTATGTTCTTCACTACCAATAAACATCTATTAGAAAAATTACTGTCTAACATCCATTCCTCCACAGATTCCTTAAGCTTCTGTGTATAACCTGGAAGGTTAGATAGAGCTAATAGGAAGTAGTAAAATGCTGGTAATTTTGAAACTTCTCAGTGATCAAATGTCAGAGAACAGAATGGGAAAACAAAAGGAAGAAATGTCAGTTTTTTAGTATAAAGCTCACAAATATCTCTGAAAAGACATCTGGAAGAGAGTGTGAAAATGTACATTTGTTTTGAATTCATGAAGGTAGTCAGATTAGTGAAGACTTAAGAATCAATTTAGGAAGGTCTGCTGTGCATGCTGTGAAGAAATAAAAGCCATTTCCTGAGATAAAAATTATGTCTGGCAACATATACATTTCTGAAGTACATACATACTCTGGCCACACATACATTCCTAGAAATCATGCATGCCCTGGGTAAAGGAGCAGCTGAAATGGAATTATGTTTCACTTTCAAAAGCTTTAGACAAAAGTGTGCATGAAGGGGAAATAAAGACATGTTGGAACTGGCAAAACATGTTTTTCACAACTAGGAAATTGGCTCAGAAATAGGAAATAAAGAATAGTGGTTGATGGACTTTATTTTGAGTAGGTAAGCAGTGAGTTTCTCAGGGATCCAAGTGACAGACCTTCTCCTCAACAAATTAACAAGTAATGTATAAAAGTAAGAAGGCCTGTGGAATGTTCACATCTGACGATGACATACATGTTGAGATCAGGAAGTGGCAAATGTCAAACATCAGGTTAAGCTGCAAAGCCACCACATACCATGGCATACAGCACAGGTAGCATAAAGTGACAAAAGAATTCAAAATATCGGCTCAATTTCCACCCAGTTTGTTCCATAGATTACTGGCCAACATTTGATATGACCTGAATACAGCTTGAGTCTGTCACACAAATTCATTTACTGGAAGATTGGTCCCTAGTGTGTCCCTTGAGAAGTAGCTGAGCCTTTAAGGAATGGATCTGCTAGGAAGTGGTTTATAATTGGGTGTTGTTCCTGAAAAAGATGAATTTAGTTCTTTGGAATTCCATGGTTAGTCTCTAGGACAGCAGGTTTTTTTCATAAAAGAATGAACTTAGCCCTGAATCTTTCTCTGGTTTTATGTTTTGCCATGTGATCTCTCCCTCTTATATGGGTTCTCACCACCAGGCTGTCTGTCATGATGCGCTGCATCAAGGTGTTCTTTGCCAGAGGTTGAACGAATAAACCAGCAGATCTTAAAGGGAAGCTGAATGCAGAAAACCTTTCTCTGCAAAATAGCTAGCATCAGGTTATCTTCTTATAGCAAATAGAAAGGGCTATTGGCATAATTTCTAGACCATCTTTCCTTAAGCATTATATACCTAACCGTGCATCTACATACATATTCTTTTATATCATACATTTATACACAAATTGAGAGATTATTGTGTACCTTATTTAAATCATTGCCTTTAAATTTTGTTTACATTTCTTATTACTTGTATTGTGTGTCTGTGGGTGTGTGTGTATGCACATGCCGCAGCATGCATGTGGATGTCAGAGGACAACCTTTTCAAGTCAGTTTTCTCTCTCCACTATGTAGACTTCAGGAGTCATATCAAACCCTGTGGTCAGGCCTGGAAAAAAAAAAGCACCTTCACATGATGATCTATCACTTGCCCACATGCCATGATTTTTTACTTGCTGATAAATATTGTAAGCAAGCTGTTATCAGATACAAAGACACTGTATGGGTTTTCTGTCTCTAATTTACTTGGCTCCCTGATATTGGGCCTTTAGGTTACTTCCTGTTTTCTCAGTATATTGATGTTATTGTCATTTTTTATTATTGTTGTTATTCTTGAATGCATATTTCTTACAATGTTTATTCAGTGTCAATTCCTGGAAGTGGGATTGCTGCTGAGTCAAAAAATAGATACAGTTATAACTCACTGCTTTTGCCCACTTGCCTTTAAAAATGTTTTCTCAGTATAAATTCTCACCAGCAGGAAGTGAGTGGCCATTCTCCTCATACTTAGCCAATAGAAGGGTATTGTAAAAAAAATGTGGTTGTTTCAAAGTGTTGTATTTTTCTTTTAAATATGCATTTTTAAGTTTTACTTCTCTCTCGGGTGCTTACATGGAGCAAATGGGAAGCTACAGAGCAAGGAATCTGGGGAGGCACCCACCGAGAAAGGAAGGCAGGGAGATTAGGCCCACGCCCTGTTTGTTTTCATGTGCGTGTGCATGTGTGTCTACAGGTATGCATGGCAGCCAGAGAAGGACATTATTTGTCCTGCTCTATCACTCTCCACCTGTTCTCTTGAGAACGGGTTTCTCACTAGCCTCGAGCTAGGTAGTAGCTAGCAAACCAAGAAAACGTTTGCTTTCTGTTGCTCCCTCACCTCCTTTAATGCTGGAGTTACAGGTGTGCACATGACCATATTCAGTTTTCTGTGTGGGTGCTGGCGATTCAAACTCGGGTCCCCATGCTTTATGTAGCAATTGCTTTTACCCACCAAGTCATCTCCCCAAGCCCAGATTCTGTCTGCACTTTTGAGAGGCTTGAGAAAAGATGAGAATTGCTAAAGGCATAGAACAGTGTCAAGGCTCACTCTGGAAAAAAGTTTATCTGAATTAGCTGGAAAGATTAAAGCATAGTCTCTGTCACACTGTGGATTCCCTGTCCCTGGAAACATAAGCTGTAGCTGAGGCATCTCAGAGTGACTTGGTTGAAAGAAGCCTCTAAAACCCCATCTTATTGGCTCTGAGGTCTGAATGGTTAGTAGGTAAGGTAAGTGAGTGTCAGCTAACTTGATCCATTGACAGTGTGTACTGTGAGGATGGGGGGGGGACCATGTACTTAATAGTAACAGAAAACAGTGAAATCGGTGGAAGGATACAATGTTTAAATTCCCTCTGAATTAAAGTTTGTATATTGGTGCATTAAGAACTGTTTCCACTTAACATACAAATGGGAAAATGATACTGTTGATCAAAGCTCTATAACTTAATCTGAGGACCTAATTTGGAAGAAGAAATGAGACAAGAGATGAGTTGCTTGATTATAAGTTACTATTTATTGAGAACACAGTTCTACACTAAGAACAGTTTTAGCTGGACTAGAAGGCTTTGACTCATGATGCTTGCCTTTTTATCTGAGTACACATATTTGATTTTTTATATCTCCTTCATTTCCTTACGTGTGATGACCCTCGTGGTCAAACACAGTCCACACACACTTAATTTTACCCATAGCTGTCTAGTTCTTGTGAGTCACATTCTCACACTTGCTCTCTCTTCTGGGATTTATACAGATGAGAATGAGGCTGAGCCCAGACAGAGTGGAAAGAAAAGAAAACATACTCAAATATACATTTCACCCCCTCTTTTCTTGTAGTCAATCATATTAGGGTCTTGCCAACAGCCTGGGGTGGTTCCTCATGTAATTTAGTTTAGAGGATAGCTATCGAGGGTGTATCAAAATATTTTTACTAATTTATACTGAGATGCACGGTTTCAGTATGGGCAATCATTCAAATGCCTGATTAAATCTGTTGGAAGTTCTGTGTGCTAAAGCATTTCACATCCTGGGAAAATAAAACCAAATATGTTGTTTTTCTTTGTTCTCCACTCAGCCATGTGAAGTTAAATAGAGCTTTCAAAAGAAGGGGGGGGGGATGAAAAAAATCTAAATAAATCCCTCTAAATCAAATTGACCTTCCCTAGGCATTTTTCCCTACATCTTGGCAGGGACGGAATCTATATTCTTCTGTTTTTGGAGCACTCTGTGTGGTCTTTCTGTGGCTGCTCCAGTCGCTGGAATGACAGCCTTTTCAGAGCACAGTAGCTTAATACACATTAACTCCTCGTCATAGGAAATAAGCTACATTTCACTCAAGGCAAAGGAGGCATTCCTGTCTTCTGATCCTTTAGCTTTATTACTGCTGATGCCCAGTAGCCCACACCCCAGGAGGTGAGAATAAGTTTCTCTTGGAACCACTTTCCCTGCTGGCCCCTTGACCACCCTGCTCGCTGCCCCCATTCTCCCGTCAGCAGGTGCTCTTCTGGTACTGGCTGTACCGCTCTACAGAAAGGGGAAAAATGGGGAGCTCTGGGGAAAGGCTTAATTTAGATGAATGGAATGAAAGACAAAACTTTATTTCTACTTTCCATACAGTGTGTGTGTGTGTGTGTGTGTGTGTGTGTGTGTGTGTGTGTGTGTGATTAAACCTCCAGATGACAGAATCTGGGAAATGGGATTAAAGCTTAGAGATTTTTAGTTTTATGTATGATAGAGTCATTCAGGTTTTTTCTGCTCTTTCCTTCTGCAGAGTGACTCCTTCTTGCTTTTGGACAGAGGGAAATAGCTTTGCTGTGAACACAAAGCCCAGTTTCCTTCACCCTATCATACTGGGGCATTGCAGACTGAGTAGAAGAACAAAGGTTTCCTGTGAAGAGGAAGCAGATGACCTTCCTCAGACTTAAGGAAAGCCTCGAACATTAGTGATTTGAAACCTTTCCGGCCTCAGAATAAGATTTCATCTCCAGTACATGCACACACCCAGTATGAACATCATTAATTGCAATAAACCTGATCTCTGGAACCTCTGAGATTCAAAACTCCCGTCTCCTCAAACAGACACAAATTACTCTCATCTAATTGATTGACCTCTGGTCTCATTCGACTTTTTTATACTTTGAGTACATAAACTGCCCAATTCAAGAGCATTTTCTTCTCTGTTGTGGATTGTTGGAACTGTCTTTGTCTACATCCTTGATTATGAAAATGCTGCATTTGATATTATTGAACACTGAAAATAATTAACTGAGTATTTATTATATGGAGGAAATTTACCATTATCTCTTAAGCTGTTACCAATGCTATGGAATCATTTTACCTATTTACAGGATAAGCAATGGAGACTCAGGAAGGAAATCAGTTCTTTGTATTATTAGTAGTAAGTTAAGAAAGTTGCAGAGACATATGTAATGTTAATTTATGTGCTATTATATATTTTTACTATAATTATGACACAATTTCCCAATTATTGGAGATGTTATCAAACACAGTGGTGATACAGAACCTTTACTCTAAGTGAGACTTAAGTTTCTCTTAGAGACATTATACAAGTTAGTGAAACTGATTTAAGTAATAACAATTGAGACATATACTCACAGAAACAGAGTCTAAAGCAAGAATGTAGTGCCTATGTGCCATAGAGACAAAACATGGCACAATGAGGAAACAAGAAAACTGGGTACAGTAAACAGAGTGCAAGAATGATGTCATCTTAGGCAAGAATAATTTTTCTCTGGCCTACCAAACACTGAAGCACACAACTATTTGGTGGCAGTGTTTGGCCTACGGAGGGAAGAGGCAGACTTGTTCCTTTTTACTAATCAATCAGTGATGACCACAGCGGGGGTTTGGAAGATCCTCTTCCAGGAGACATCTGGCTAGTTGACACTTGTCAACCTGTCCTGAGAAAGTTGTAGGGACAAACTATTTGTCTGTATTGTGCTTCTTACCTGGAATCTGTGTGTCTCCAGGGGTGGAACTGAGAGCGTAGGCCACTTCCCATTTTAGCACTTTTTGATTGTTTATGCAATCTCATTTACTGGACCTCACCCTAATGACTAGACTTGAACTATATTTGTAGTGTGATGGTATCTTTTGCTTTTATCAGAAATATACTATGAATAGCTTTGCTATAGTGCTAACATAATTGAAAAAAGAAGTTATCAAGGACGATATTGAGATTAGTGTAAAACCAAAGCACATGGTCCTCTTCTTCATGCTAGCCAAGCCAGGGTTTACAGCTATTAGTTCAAGATTCCTGGACTGGCTGTGGGTGCAGACTTCTGCAGGTCTGGGCTCACGCTGACACAGCCTCATCTCTAAGACTGCCCCAGTCTCCACTTTTGGAGCTCTCTAAGCCACGTGGCTGTTAGTCCACTGACTTGCTAACTGAATTTGCTCTTTCTCAATCCTGTGCCTCACATCACCAAACACTCATGGACCTGTTCAGGATGGGGTCAACATTATTTTTGCTTATAGTAACCATTGTTTCTCTCCACTTTGAGTTGTTTTCCTTTTCCTGTTATAAGGTCGTATCGCTTTTCCATATGGCGTCTGCAGGGGAGGTCCTCTCTGAGCTCTATGGAACTTCCCTGAACTCCAGCCAAGGTGCATGTGTTAGTCATGCTCTTCTGAAAGCCACAGAGCATGGGCTGGAGTGTAGAGTGGTGGGAAACAGGGGTACAGCGCCTAATGTTCAATGGGGAGCATACACAAGAAAGTCACTGTTTACAATAGCAAAACCTGGAAGCAAGCCAAAAGTCCATTGGAGGGGCAATGAATAATGATGGGACAGTCACACAATAGAATATTGTATAGCTGTCAAAGGAATACCGTCCCACCCAGTGATATGGGTGCAACATAATAATTACTCATTAAGCAGAAAAGTCAGCTTTAAAATACACATATAGCAAGATAAAATGTCCATAGCATGGAAACAATAAAAATTAAAACAGGAATCTAAGCCTATAAGTACAGCTAATAAGACCATATAAAAAGGGATGAAAGGCAAATGAAACAGAACTTGAGATGATGGTTATCTTGGATTGCTGTAGTAGGGGTAAACAATTAGGTGTATATTGAGGTCATGGCTTTTACTTTGAGTGATAAATTTCTGTGTACTGATGTGTGTGTGTGCATGTGCGAGTGTGTGTGTGTGTGTGTGTGTGTGTGTGTGTGTGTGTGTGTGTGCATGTGCGAGTGTGTGTGTGTATTGGTCAGATAGCAACCTCTAGAGTCTTTCCTTTGGTGTCACCCACCTTAGTTTTTTGCAGCAGGGCCTCTCACTGGCATGTTAGCCTATGCGGGCTTGCCAGTGCACCCCAGAGACCTGCCTGTCTCTGTCTCCCCAGTGTTAGGATTCCCAGTGTGTATACAAAGCCTAGATTTTTTACATAGACTCTGGGGATAGATTTCAGCGTTTTACATTTGCATGACAGGCACTTTGCCAGCTGAGCTCTCTCCCGAGCCCCATGTGCTTATCACTGAAAATAATTAGTAAGCTGCTAGATACATAAAATGTCTAATTTAGATCAACAATGAGAAAGTGTCATGCACCAAAGATTACAAATAAACTAACCCTGAGAATCTGGAGACCCAACAGAACTCACATGTATTTATGGTAACCATTCAAGAGATAAAGGCAGCAGAAATACTTGAGGGTATGAATTGTTTTGAAAATTAAATAAAGTAAGATAGATGTACGCTATGATGTTCTACCTACAAATTAAGCTGTGAATAAATTATTTCTTATCATTTTGTCAGCTGAACTGTGATATAACTTTGCACATGCATAACTCGACAACCCATTTCCCTTTCAAGGTTGAGCCAAGGACCTCCCAGAACAGAAGGGGGTTACAAGCAAACTTGTTGGCCACCCTGGTCCGAGTGTTCCCTAAAACTATGACTGCATCATGGCTTCTTAACTGATTTGGTAACAGAGGGTGAAGCTTTGGCAACCTGAGCATCAGAGACCTACATTTAGGGCTTGATGGACAGCATAGCCATTTCTATCTGAGGTCTTGCCATATAGATCAAGGTTCAGTAAAGACCCAGATATCCTTATTCTCAATCTTTTTCCTCAAAATCATACCTAACCCTTCCTGTCCAAAGAATTATTCCATTCTTCCTGGAATACTTGTAATATTCTCTTCATGAATTTAAATTATTCCCAAAGTTAGGAAAACATTGACTTCTGGCAGCAACTGCTATACAGCCTGTGAATATACCCAACAAAAATTGCTTCAGGAAACGAAAAAGGAAAGTATGGGCAGAAGGAAGGCAGATATTTTACTAATATTTTCTTGCCTCTCTGTTGAGCATGTGATCAATGAGACATTAGCTCACCGTCCCTTCCTTTTTTCATCTTTCCACTGAGGAAAGCATGTGTTCTGTGGCCAGAGAAGGGTGAACATGTATGATGTTCAGCTGAAACTTCCAGGAGGAGAATTGAAAAAGTGCCAGTTTCTCTGGAAAAGAAGAAACCCGGGAAAAGGCAGAAGTGCTAGCAAATGCTCTAGAAGTAGATCAAGTCTTCTCACAGCTGATGTACTACTCCCTATTTCCTTCACTGTCCTTGGATTCATGCATGCAAACAAAGGCTCCCCTCTCACTTAAAGGAGCAACGGTTTCATCTGAGAAAAGCCACAGTAAACCACACCCTAGACATTCAAAGTTTTCCCCTGCCTCTTAGCAGTCCAGCTGAGGTAGCGATGATTCATCACAGGCATCTTCTGAGTGTTGGGCAGACCCCAGACAATCTGTCCAGATGGCCCATCCCATCACTGAGTGTTGCAATCACATGAAAAGAAAGCATGCTTTGTGTTAGCTGATTTGAAAATGGATCTCTGTTGTGGAGACAAATATAGAAAAGTTATCAGGTTACTAATCTGCCACTGAACTCAGGCCTCAAAGGAAAGTCATAACCATGCTTGTCATATCTGTCTTCAAAGGCTGTCACAAATATAGCTAATGAATTATAAAGCACCTGCCTCCACCTTTATCTTGTTCCCTTTATCTATTTTCTTTGTCTTTTGAAACTGATACCTACTCATTTGACCACAGTTCACGATGGTGATGAATGAATTGGCACTTTCTGATCTGTGTTCTCACCACTGGCCTTGTGTTAGTGTTTTAGTGACCAAAAATTCATGTTCTGTAGTTGGCTATAATGATTCTTGATGGAACAAATGAGTGTGTACATCCAACTAGGTCAAATGATTGCAAAGGTATGTGTCAGCTTTTCTAACCTATACAAAAGCTTACCCTATTTATATCAATAATCTACTTCAAATTATTTCTGGTTATGAATTATTTAACATCATTTAAAACATTTTTAGGTTTATCAACTATCTCCTTAATTTTATTTTTCTTCCTTTATCTCAATTTTCACATCTGTCTCTTCTCCAGAGTTACTCAGCACACTCTTAAAATTAGACTAGGACTCAATTTTTCATGTTTATTAAGTCTTGAGACTATTAGAAGATAAGATGTTCTTAAGAGTTTTGGGGAGGGATTATTCTCACTTAAAAAGCTATTTGGTACAACCATTAAAATACGGGGGCGGGGGGGGGCATAATGAAGGGCAAGGGTCGAGAGAAAGAGAGTTTAGGGGAGTGGGAGATCCCAGCTGGATCAAGAACAGAGAGGGAGAATAATGAAAAAGAGACCATGATAAATGAAGACCCCATGGGAATAGGAAGAAGCAAAGTGCTAGAGAGGTCCCCAGAAATCCACAATAGACTATTGGCAATGGTCAAGAGAAAGCCCAAACTGACCTACTCTGGTGATAGAATGGCCAAACACCCTAACTGTCATGCTAGAAGTCTCATCCAATGACTGAAGGAAGCGGATTCAGAGATACATGGCCAGGCCCCAGGTGGAGTTCCAGGAATCCAACTGGCGAAAAAGAGGAGGGATTGTATGAGCAAGGTTTGTTGAGA